GTGTTGCCTCAAGAAAAATACAAAAGTTAGGAGGAAAAGAGATGAGTTTGGCTGAAAGACAATGAGTTCTGTCTGTGTATATATATATATATATATATATATATATATATATGTATATATATATATATATGTATATATATATATATATATACATATATATATATACACATATCTTTTTTTTTTAAATGGCCATGGGATATCTAGGTGGAGATGTCAAGCAGGTAAAGATGTGGGTCAAGATAAAATGTGGACTACATAATACCACAATTCATGAACCTTTAACTTTTTAAATAATCAAAGAATATAGAACAAAGAAACAATATCAACCTGGATGAAAGTTTCTATTGGCATGATATCATTGAGTTTTAGGAGTGCTGGGACCCTGAAATAGAGACACGGGACCTGCCTCGAAAGAATTCGACTCAAGCCTTCTTTAGCCACAGACAAGGTTTATTAAACACTGATTTGTGTGAGTGAGATTCCTAGTGAGTCTGTGCTATTGGCCAGATTTTAAGAATCTGAGCAATTTAATGGAGGCCAAGAGGGATCTTATATACAGAAAGACTGTGGGAGGGATCTAGGAGTGTCCAAGTAGTCTGGCATGACTGGGAGGTAACAGAGAATGCCAGGGACCTGGACCATGTGGCCAAGGGAGAATGGAGTCTAGATAGAATTAAGGGTGGGAAGTGGCCCAGGCAATGGGGAAGTAACAGACAGTGGAGGGCTGAGATAGGTTAGAGGTAACAGAATTGAGAGATTGGGCATAGCCACCATGAGAGGTCAGTTAGGATGGGTCCATGCCTAAGGAGATTGCCAAAGACTTGACCATATGGGAAAGTTCTAGGAAGTTGGGGGTAGGGTTTCCAGGGCCTATACCCCATCAATACGAGAACCAACTAACAAGGAGAAATTGATTTGCTGGAGTATAAGTGATGGAAACCTTGGTAAGGAGTAATCATTTTATCTAGCATTTCAAACAGAGGAAATGAATATAGGGCCATATTCTGCTGTGTACCCTAAGACTGGAGAGCTCCTTTTCCAAAGGGTTCAAAGAAAGAACTGCTAAAACCCCTTAGAATAAAGTTCTACACATCAGCTTAGGAAAGATGAGAAGATTAAAACTTTGAAGATACAAAAATAATTCTGAGGAAAGCAGAGAGTTATCTAAAGATATTGGTATGATATATAAGGAACCCATCTAACAACTTAAGTTTTTTTAATGACTTAAGTAATTGTAGGAAATTCATTATTCATGTTTGGGATGTATTAGTAGAAGCAACAGTATCATCTAAATTAATTTATAGATTTATTGTCACACTTATTAAATTTCCAAGAGAATAGCTTGACAAAAACAACAACAAAATCAAAAAGGAGAAATAAAAGGTCCAGAATCTAAAGGGCATTTTTTAAAAGCAGGAATTAAAGGCAAATAATACTTCTGAATCAGAAATTATTTTATAAACCAAAAATCATCAAAAACTGTTTGTGGTTAAAATATTCCTTCAGATGGAATTTCTTAACCCATTTCTCCTTCCTCTTAAGTTCCCTCACAGTCCTTGTTTCCCTTAACTATTTCTGAGGGGGAGAGTGGCAGAATGGATAGAGATCCAACCTTGAGGCAAAGAAGACTTGGGTTCAAGTTTTACCTCTGAAACATACTGGCTATTTAATAGATCATGTTAGTTAATGTCTCAGTGATTCAAGGAAACTCTTTAAACCTATAAATTGCAGAAAGGTTGCTCATCTACACTGTTTAAATAACAAAGGCTTCCTACACTGATAAAATCAGAGGTCTAATACAATAAAGGTTTATCACTTAGCCTCACGTTTACAGGTATAAATTCATACACCAAACCACGTGTTGTGTCAAAAATAGTTGCAATAAGATACTGACTGGTGAACAAAAGCCACTTAAGACAATATTCATTCTTCTTTTGTTTCTTCTATTTTTAAAGCATTTAGAGATAAGCATTTTTCCTAAGAAAGTTTAAGGTACATTCCAAGGTTTTAGTATGTTGTCTCATTATTAGTTGGTAAAATTGCTCTTTTTAAAAAAAATGTTCTTTGATTACTACTGCCATATTTTAAGGGGGACATTAGTCTCCATTCAAATCTAAATGCTTTCTCTATATTTCCATTATTGATTGTAGTTTTTGCTGTTACTGCCTATAAAGTATGTTCAATATTTGTTCATGTATAGTATTTTATGGCACATCATATAGACAAATTTTTAAAGGAACTGTCTGAAGCTGGAATTTCATAAAGCCTATGATACATAATTTTTTTCTGAAATTCTGTTAAGGCCCATGAATTTTTTCTTGTTTATCTTTCTGCTAAATTTGTCTAGTTCTGAAATGGGAATGTTAAAGTCATTAGCAATTACTGTGTTACTAGTAAATCATCTTTGCAATCTAATTAAAATTTCTTTTAGGCATTCAGATGGTATGCCATTCAGTACATATATAGAGTGTTTCAAAAGTCAAAGTACAGTTTTAAGTTTTACAATTCTCAGGACACACTGTATTTGGAATTGTTATTGTTTTATTATCTATGGTGCCTTTAAGCACAATGTAACTTTTTTGCTCCTCTCTTCTGACCATGTTTATTGCTACTTATTTCATTGTTTGAAATTATGATTGTCACTTCTGCCTGAATTTTTTGATTCTGCCAAAGCATAAACTATTCTACTCTGATCTCTACTTTAACTCTCTATAGTTAACTCTCTATAGTTCTTTAAGTTACTAGCTATGTGACCCTGAGCAAGTCATTTAACCTCTGTCTCATTTTCCTCATCTGTATAATGTATAATAGCAACTACCTCATAGGATTATTGTGAGGAAAAAGTGAGATGCAAACCTTAAAGATCTATAAAAATGCTAACTACTATTACATCATATTATATATCACATTATCTTATGTAATATCATATCATCTCATATTATTTATTCTGTTTTATATTATTTCATATTATACTGAGTTTTACTTTCTGATTCATTCTCTCATCTTCAACTATTGTGTAAGCAAGTTCATCCCATTTAAATTCATGGTTCTAATTGTTAGGTTTGTGTTTTCCTCCGTCATATACTCCTTTAGCATTTTCTCTCTTTTCCCTAGCTACTTTATTAAGGAAAATAGAGGTGAGGAAAAAAGGGAAAGAGGTCAACAGTGACAACCTGAAATTGACTTCAACTATTTAGATGGTGGAATAGATGCTGTCTGCGACCCTCAACAATCCAAAAACCTCAGAAAAACGTTATGTGACCTAGATCTGATTATGTGTAAGAAACACAGCCCTTTCTATATTGCCCCTTGGCTCCTATTAAGCAGCTTGACCAGTGAAAAGCACTATAGCATAGTACATGCAGTGCTGGACTTGGATTTGGAAAAAACTCGGGTTCAAATTTTACCTCTGCCCTTACTATGCAATGCTTGGCAAAGCACTTAAACTGACTCAGTTTTCCCTCCTGTAAAATGACAGGTTTGGTTTAGAGGGTCTATAAAATCCCTTTTAGCTCTATTATCTTTCAGCTAAACACCAAACAACCCCGTCAAGTAGGTAGAACAATGACAATAGGGGTTAGCTATTGTTTTGGAGATATGTAGCCTCAACAAAGGTCAAACAGGAATGTAATGGTCTGTTACCCTCTAGCACATTATCCCCATCATCTGAGGACCCACGTGGTTTTGCTACGTTGTATTTCACTGCATAATTGTCACATCCTGTTTTTTGGTTTTGTTTTGTTTTTCAGTCCAAAACTTGGTTTATAACCTTCCATCACATAATTGTCTCATGGTATAATTCTGTTCATCATGCCACTTGAAAGGTAAACAGAGCAGCAATGTATTCACCAGTGGCGTATGGACACATATTTATCTCTCACTCATTGTGAGCCCCAAACCTAGAATTCTCAGCACATGCACATTGTCAGTATATATGAAGCCAATTTATACGGTTGATTTAAAGCACAGCAGTACAAATGGTAGTGTCACTCCACACAATGAAGAGCCATAGGTGCAAAGGGAGTGGGAAGGTATGTGAAGCTGCCATGAGTCACATGATATGGTGAGACTTGCATCTTCCCAATTTTAACATATATTCACAAGTATTCCATGCATCTTAATCTTATACCAAAGACAGTTTAGTAATAAATGATTTTTAAGTAATACCTGCACAATTTTGAAAGCTTCACATGATATATGCACCCCACCTTTTGCAAAAAAAAATTGGCATAAAATCTGCAACAATTATACATTGAAATACAGTACTCTTCAAATACCCCTAACTGAATATCTGAGTTCTATAATAGCTACTTGCTTTTACTTTTAGTGGCATATTCTTGATGCTTAATACATGATCATTTGATGTATGGGTAAAACAAGTATAACTGGTCACTTCTCTAATCATAGGTAATTTGGCCTCCATCTACAACAGGCCAACATCCAGAATTACTATGATGATCAATTTGAGTCAAATTCATGGTTATAGTGACTAGTTCTAGAGACGTTTTATCACCACTTGTAGATAGATGATTCTATGTGAGACTATGGAGAGCTCACACAAGGCAAACATTCACATGGAGGTCAGAAGAAGCAGAACAAGGACATTCTCAAGGTCTCTGAAAAACTTTGGAATCAATTCTAAGACATGAAAGACACTGACACAGGACCACCTAGCATGGTATGCCCACATCAAAGAAGCTGCTGTGCTGTATGAGCAAAGCAGAATCTCAGTGGCAAAGAGGAAACATGACATGTGTAAATCTAGAGCCATCTCCATCCCCAATGTTCAAATGGACTATTTGTGCCTAACCTGTGGTAGAGCCTTCCAAGCTCACACTGTATTGGTCAGCCTCCTTGATTCCCAACATCGTGATGCCATTGGTCCTCTTCAAGTATAAAGGATAAACAATAGACAAATGACTACATAATAGGTTTTAACACTTTACATTATATAGTGATAAGCCTTACTGCTATAAAAAGTACCTCCCAGAATTTCTCACCTCACTTTTATCTTGCTTACAGAATGTTTAGCTATATCGATACAATCAGGGTAATAACTCAAGTTGGAAATCTGAAAGAAAAAAATGAAGAATGGGCTAAATCCCATAAGCAACGTTCATTTTTATAAACCTTACTGTAAATTTTTTCAAAATGGCTACAAGAAAACAATGCATTTATTTAACATGATTAGCTATCACAAAATCCCTCCCCACATACACTAAAATACAAGAAATGATATTTATTTTTGTTTTAATGTTTTTTAATGCGCAGATTGTTGTGGCATCTGGGCACAAAACAACACATTAAATTTATACTGCTCAGAATAGAAAAAAAGCTGCCTTGAATGCACCATCAACACTCACCATTAGAAACATTTTCATTAAGCAGTATGAATCCTATGGATTAAGGAATAATTTAATAAAATCATAATTTTGCACTATGAACTGAGGGGAGGAGAACCCAATTTCTTGAAGCCTCATTATGTGAGATTTCACACACAATAGATGATAAATAAATGAATACATAAATATTTGGATTTGTAAACTGGAAATTCAGAAGGAAATTTCCAGCAGCTAATATTTCACCCAATACAAGAAAAATCTACTTCATAATCTATAGAGCTTAACTCTAGAACTGTCAGAAAATGTACCCTTGATAATTCCTGCCAGTACCCGGGCAAAAAAACAAGCAATTAGGCATATTGACACTAAGAAATGGCATAATTTGGTTTTTCGTGACTGAAAGAGTATTTAATAATGTAACGTGCAAACTCCTCTAAAACTAAGAATATTAGATCACACATTTAGCTCGTGAAGGGAATATCAGAGATCAGGAGTCCTTCACCTTTTTAGTGTCACAGGGCCCATCTGGCAATCCAATGAAGCTTACGGATCTTTTCTTTGAATAATAGTTTGTTGCCTATATTAATAATTGAAGGAAATGCTAAATCTCCACTAAATGTTAATAAAAAATAAGGCATAGCTTTCATCATTCAAGGTCATAGACCTTCTGAAAATCTATTTATGGACTTTAGGTAAACAACTTCTGTTACTGGTCATCTGGTTCAGGCCCCTTATCTTATAGATAAGGAAGTGGAGGACCAGAAAGATAAAATGACTTGCTTTGGGTTATATTTGAAATGACATAATAAGTTATTTTAAATCTTCACATCTCATCTATTTGCAGTAATATAAGATAAAAAGATAATAAAATCCCATATTCTGTTGTATCTTTATGATAGTTGGAGATGTATTTTTTGTGCTGAACCAAATATTAAGACTGGAAGTATCTACTACTCTTGATCAAATAAGATAACAAGGTAGAGAGGTAGAAAGGCCATAGGATCATAGATTCAGAAAGGACACATAAAATTCATCTATATCAACTACTTCATTTTACAGATCAGAAAACTGAGGCCAAGAGACTTTAATGATACATACACAAGCTCATATGCGGCAGTCAGGATTTGATTTAATATCCTCAACTTCAGAAGAATTTGCATTTCGCATCATGAATTTTACTACGTAAGTTAAACATTTAATGAGTGGAGAATAATGAACTCCAGGGCTGTAGAGATTTGCCTATCCCTCCCTCCCACAACCATTCAGAAAGAGAGAGACATATTCAGCTCAGCCAGAGAAGGAAAGGATGGATGGAAAAGTGGAGTTAGGAAGCCGGCATATGTGGCTGCATAGGGTGTGAAGGAAAGGTGATATAAACCCAGCTCAGATAGTTCTCTATCTCAAAACTTACATTGAGCAGGGACTAAGCTAGTAAAAAGTATATTTACCAGCACAGAAGGAGGCCAAGGTGAATTTGAAATCCCTGGGGTTGTACCTGAGATGAAAGGGGGAGGAATTAAAAAGTGAGGAACAGGGAATAAATATATAAAGGAAAAGCTAAAATCACCAAAGATTTAAATTTTATCAAAAAGACATGCTGGAAAGATTTTTGCCCCAATTAACTGTCTCTTCTAATTTTACTTGCATTGATTTTATTTATTTTTGTGTGTGTACAAGGTTTTTAGTTTTAAGTAATCAAAATGGCACATTTAATTCTTGCAATCTTTCCAATGTTTGGTGGAAAATTCTTCCCCTAATCACAATTGTGAAAGTAATTTGTTTGTTCTTCTAATTCCCGTATGATGTGGCATATTATATATTAGTCATACAACTAGTTGGAGTGTATTGTATGTGGAGTGAGCTACTAGACTAAATCTGTTTTCTGCCAGAACACTTTCCAATTATCCTATAAGCTTTTATACAAGATGACTTCATGCTCAAATAGATGAGATCTTTCAGTTTATTGAAAAACATGATATTTATCTTCATTTGCTTCTGGATCTTGTGTTCCTAATCTACCCTACTGGTTCATTGACCAACTTTACTATTTTTTTTTAACCAGAACCAAATACTTTTGATGATTGCTGCCTTATGGTGTGGTCTGAGGTCTGGTACTGCAAGACCTCCTATTTTGCCACCTTTTCTTCATTATTTCCTTTGACATTCTTGACCTTTTGTTTCTCTAGATGAATTTTGTTACTATTTTTCTATCTTCATGAAGTAATCTTTGCTAGTTTTTTTGGTATGACAGAATAAATAAGCTGATCACATTCTAAAAAGAGAGTATTCTCATTTTTATTATATTGGCATGAGTATTTGTCTTTATTTCTGTAAATAACGTCATGGGGTTTTATTCATAAAATTCCCGTGTGTTTCATAGTAGGTGGGCTTCAAAATATTTTACATATTCTGTAGTTATTTTGAATGATATTTCACTGTCTCTTCCCACTTTATTTTATTTTTTTCATTATTCAACAAGGTTGATGATTTGTATAGGTTTATATCCTCCTACTTTGCTGAAGTTGATTTTTTCAAATAATTTTTAGTTGACTGTTTTGGGTTATTTATGTAGACCATTATATCATCTGTAAAAATTGTTATTTTGTTTCCCTTTTGCCTGTTTATTGCTTTGATTTCTTTTTTCTTCTCTTATTAGTATAGCTAGTATTTCTAGAGCTATCTGAAATAATAGTAGTAATAATTATCATCTTTGCTTTATTCCTGATCTTATTGAAAAGGCCTCTAAAACATTTATATTAAAGATGCTAACTACTGGATTTTGATAGCTGCTGTTCATTGCATTAAAAGTCCGCTTATTCCTAAGTTTTTACAGAAATGAGTGTAGCCTTTTCTGCATCTCTTGACATAATCACATGATTTTGTTGTTTTATTATTAGTATGGCATATCTAATTAATAGTTTTCCTAATATTTAACTAACCTTGCTTTCCTGGCAAAAATCAAACCTAATTTTCATGTACAATCACTCTAGATTCTTTGTTAAAATGTGTTCAATATATTGCCATCAATATTCATTATGGATATTTATATGTAATTTTCTCTTTATATCTCCCTGGTTTCAAGTGCCTTTCTTCTATTGATTATCCCCAAATTATCCTTTCTTTTGTTTGCATATGGTTGTTTTTATGTTTTCTCCCCCACTAGACTATGACTTCCTTGACAGCAAGTACTGTTTTTTGCCCTTCTTTGCATCCCCAAAACTTAGCACAATTAGCTTAACACAGCTTAGCCTACACATAGTAGGCACTTAATGTTAGCTGAGTGGCTGGCTATGCTGTCTTTGATGTAGTTAATGTAGTTTACATCTTATTTCTTTATTAAATCTATTTCACTATTTCCTTATCTTGATAGAGTACTATCCCTGATTTTTCTAATTCACTTGAAGATTAATACATTTTAACACTATGAGAATCTTATTTTAAAAGGGGTATTTCTTGTAAACAACATGTTGTTGGATTCTGCTTTCTAAGGTATTCCATAAACATCTATCTTCCATTTTCATGGGTGAGATACTCCCATTCACATTCACAGTCATGATTGCTAATTGTGCATTTTCCCCAGTCAGATGCTATTATTCTTTTTCTTATCTTTACCTCTAATTCCCTATTCACAAAGAAAAAAAGTTATACAAAAGAAGCACTAGAGATCTATAATTGAAGTGATCCAATTCTATTCCCCTGCCCTTCCTTCTCCCCTCTTCCAACTCAAATTTGCTTTGTTTGTAAGTATTCCCTCCCTAACTCAACCCCCCCTTTTAAACCTCCCTCTTCCATCTTTATCCCCACCTATTTCCCTGTTGATTTAAATGTAGTACTATAATAAACTCTTTATGTACCTGTATGTGTCCTACCTTCCTTTTTCAGATTCAAATAATAAAGAGGTTCATGTGCTACTTGCTTCCCTACTCCTTCCTCCATGTTTGTATACATTTCTTGTGCACCCTGAATATGGATATGTTTCTCTCTATTTCTTTAGACTTCCCTATTGCATTCCATTTTCTTTTCCCTTTTCTGTCCTTTCTTCAGACCAGGAAAACAGTACAAAACCACCCCCCCCCAGCCCCCTTTCTTAAGTCTCTAGGTGACCTATTGAATAGAGACTTGTCTTTCTCTTCCATTAAAAGGTACTTATCATTTGTCCCCTTCCAAAGACTTAAAACAGTTTGACTTTCTTGTTTCCTATCAATGTTTGTAATTATCTCCGATCTTTTTAGGATGAATACTTGAAAGTCCTCTAAGGTAGGCCCTAGAAGTAGCATACAATTGCTAATTCTATCTACACAAAACCCATTCTCTACTCAGGCAAATAATCTGATTTCCATTCCTACCATTCTGCTGAAGCAGCTCTGTCCATGGTCATAAATAATATTCTGATCACCAGATCCAATGGACTTTCTCTGTTCTCATTCTATTTGGCTTTACTGTGGAATATGATATGAATTATGCCATCCTAGATACCTCTCTATCATATTATACTCATGTGGTTCATCTCCTATCCCTTAAAAGTTCTTCCTCTACATTTGTGACTCCTAATCATGTTGCTAAAATCAAATGAAATGTGAAAGTCTGTAACATGCTTTGCAAAACTCATTAGTCATAGAGAGGATTTCTGGGAAGATGGCGGAGTAGGTCAGAAAACTTTCTGCTATACAGATCTCCTCTACAAAATAAGGCAGAACTTCACCTCAGAGCAGGGGGGAATAAACAGGGG